AAACACCGTAGTTTTGGAGTAGTGACTTTAAGAGAAAATAAACGGCAAGCACCAGTTGAACTCACTACTCCCGTCTCACTATTTCTTAGAAAATATAAGTAATACATAACACACACACACAGGAATGATACAAATTTATACTTATACATATATCGGAGTGTCTATTTACACTAAGTGCAAATAGCCTGCCTTGTTGGCAGAGGCTACTTACACTAACTCCGCCCACCAACGTGTGATTGGGGTAGTCAACACTACAAAAGACGCTCATGAAACATCATTTGCAGTGTAGTAGATGGTAAGGTGCATGCTTTTTGACGCAATCGACCAGAGTTCGAACCCGCCTTTTGCCAAACTTTTTTCTCCCTTTTCAGATCTCATATCCCATCGGAAAGGCATTTATTTTCAATAAAATAATTTTTTTTAATAAAGTATCGGTTAGGGTAGGTATAGGGAGGGCTTATATTGTCCCAATAAGGTGGCATCCATTTAATAATTTGAATTAAAATTATAATTTACACTCAATACGTTATTATTGCATACTGTTTTATAATGTACTACAATACTGAGGTGCAGATAATTGCCACTATTTGCAACAAGTAGTAGAAATAGCAGAACATTTTGTAATTTTAACAGTGTAAATAGAATCTATAGCTATTTGAACTTAGTGTTAAGCATATCGCATATTGTTAAAAATACTACTATTTTCACTTAGTGTAAATGGAATCCATTGCTATTTTCACTTAGTGTAAATAACATCTAATTGCTATTTACACTTAGTGTAATAGACTACATTTATTCGTGTGCACTCAGAATAACAACGAAACATTGCGCTTTTGTAAAATAATGAAAGTAAACAGAATGCACTCTCTGCCGTCTCGGACTCTGTGAAATTGAGCGCGTCTCTTCGAAACTCCGTGTAAGCTTGCCTTATTACATGAAAAATATATATATTTATATATATATATTCTCAGATTATGTAAACTGTATGAAACATGCATACAGGTGCATACTGCGGAGATGACGAGTCAGTGTCGCCGACTTCATCTCTTAAACCGAAAACAGAAAGCACTAGTGTAACAATAAATTATTAAAACTTTAATGCAGTGTACTTGCTGTTTTCCTCTAACACATTCATAATTATTATATTTGCCAGTGCGCTGTCAAGCCTTTTTTACGTGCGCTTGAGCTCTTATTAGGCTATGTAGGCAATTAAAGGCTCATTATTATGATTATATGGTTTATTAATAAAAGTGCGGCTAATGGTCGACTAATGCTTAAAATTAACGACTACTAGTCGGACTGTTCGACCACTGAATCCAACAGATTTCCACTAAAAATAGCTATAAGATGTCACCTTATCAGCAAAAACGGCATAAATTTAATTTGATTTAATTGTTTAAAACAATTTAAATACTATTTGGCCAGTGGAAAAAAAAGAGGTCAACTTTATTGTAAAATATTTATCTGAGAACTATGTTAAACAGTTTTGTTTTTATGGATATTTTGATATATTTATTCTAAAACATATCAAGGATACTGGATGGTTTTTAGCAATAAAAATGAATGTGTATAGCACAAATGGCATTATAGTCCGTATCTCATATTTTCCCAACATATTGTACCCTTAACTGCATTAAACATGGTGTCACGTGGATGGGAATATGCATGGAATTGACATGCAGATGAGGTGTTGTAAATTCCATATTTTATAAATGAGACCCCAGATCTATTCCGCCAAGACCAAACACATTATCATTGCCATGAATATTACCATGCTAAACTCTCAGAGTTTTCATGCCAGAACTAAATTAACTTCTCAATGTGACAATTTAGTAAATAGACCAAGGCTATATGATCTTTTTTTTTTCTTCTGATATTTGTAAGCATTTCAAATGAACTGGACACCATATCAGGTGTGCATTCAGGCACGGTCATGTTTGTTTAAGAATGGAAATTCCAAATATTTTAAACACCCATCATACAGTTATTTTGAACACAGGCTATAGTGTATTGTGTATATACAATATATAAGAGAGGTTGTTCCATACACTGCTTTAAACACACACACACACAAACTTATTTACTTTTACTGTGAAACCAAAGTTTTGTGTGATTGTGTTTTTGCAATTTTTTGCCTACTAAAATATTTAGGCTAATGTAATTTTCCATTCACCAGTCACTGTGGCTGGTGGGTACAACGATTAATTTCCAACCCTGGTCACAGTATTTATATATATTACTCAATCATCCAGATACATACCTCGGGTCAGTCAATTATTATATTAATTTAAACAATTATTATCAAACTGTTGTATTCATTTAGTCATATATAAATATATCTTGGTGTAGGCTATATCTTTAGACTTTTATAATTCCTTATCTTCTTGTTGTTATGACCTTGAGATATTCTATGCATCTGTGAGCTGTTTTTGTATGTATCGGATCTCTCTGCTCGTGTGTGTGTAGACATGTTTGTCTTAGTCTTTGATCCTTGCCTGTTTACCTGGTTTATCCCTCTAGTCTCGCCCCTTTGATTCTGTTTGCCGATCGTTGACCTCCGCTAGCCTTAGGTTTATTCTTGTGTCTTGCCCGCCATATACCTGTCTGCCATTATCTGACCCATGCCTGTTCTATGACCACGTCTCTGTCTTCTGTTAAGAATAAAGCTTGCACATGGATCCGCACTTCTCAAGTCTTGTCAGCCCCGTAACAACTACACAGAGCCGCAGTTCACTGAGAAGCTATGCAAACAGCTGTCATTATCGCGAACGATTTCTTCGATTTCATAATCGCGCAATAAAATCGTCTGCGATTTTTT